CATTCCCAGGTACCTGAGAAGGGTCCCGAAGCGGAAAATGTCTTCGCTGACCCTCCTCCGCCCATGCCACAACGAATTCCAATGCAGAATCCTTTAAAAGGAAAGTCATTGGGCATCTTCCCTCCCACCCACCCAATCAGGATGAAGCTATGCGATCTGCTGGTGCACCCGTTTACTGAGCCCTTTATTCTCATTCTCATCGTCCTTCAAGCTACTCTCCTGACCGTGGAATCGGCTCCAGATGTCTTCACAAACCCGCGGCCTGCTGCATGGGGAGTCACTTGGATTGATTGGGCGATACTGGTGCTGTTCATCATCTTCACGCTCGAGTTGATTGCGCGTATTTTGGTATCTGGCTTCCTTCTAAATGCTTCCGAATACAGCACCATCGATCGCCAAAAAGGAGTTCGAGCCGCAGTTGTCGATCAGTACAGAAATTTGTTCCAGCCTCAGCGTCAAAAATCTGTCAAGGGCCCGCGACAACAAATCCACCTCGGCCCCTCAGCCTTCCAGCGATCCTTCACAATCATGCAGGGTCAGACACTACCACAAACTGTCGAGGAACAGCAGAGGTATCAACTTGCCCGACGAGCATTCTTGCGGCACTCATTCAACCGGCTTGACTTCCTCGCTGTTGTCGCCTACTGGATCTCTTTTGCGCTTAGAATCACTGGCGTCGAAAGTGAGAAGCATCTCTACGTGTTCAGGATGATTTCATGTTTACGTATCTTGAGACTGCTCGCTTTGACGAACGGCACAGCGGTTAGTAATCCTGCCATACCCCTGATAAGTCCGCCACTAACAACATATCTAGATTATCCTCCGAAGTCTGAAAAAAGCTGCGCCGCTGCTTGTGCGAGTTGCCTTCCTGATTTCATTCTTCTGGGTATTGTTTGCCATCATTGGAGTGCAAAGCTTCAAGGCTAGCCTGAGTCGGCAATGTGTCTGGCTTGACCCAACGGACCCAACTAACAAGGAGAAATCTTTCACAAACGATATGCAGTTCTGTGGAGGATTCCTCAATAACGTTACTGGGGAAAGCATGCCCTGGGTCATGATGGAAGATGATGGTATTCTGGACAAGTTCAGAAACGGCAGCAAGGCCGGGAAAGGCTTCCTTTGCCCTCGTGGCTCGATCTGTCTTCAGCAAGACAACCCATACAACGGCACAGTCAGCTTCGACAACATTGCTCAATCACTAGAAATGGTGTTTGTTATCATCAGTTCCAACACCTTCTCCGACGTCATGTATTACACAACCAACTCCGATTACCTTCCCGCGGCACTCTTCTTCGGCGCCGGCATTATGATCCTTATGCTGTGGCTCGTCAATTTGCTTATTGCGGTCATCACCTCTTCTTTCCAGGTCATCCGAGAGGAAAGCAGGGCGAGTGCATTCACAGCACCCGAAGAGCCACCGGCTCCGGAGCCGATGGACGAGTTGACTCAGAAGGTGCCTGCTCTGCAACGAATCTACGACAAGACCTTCCTGCTTTGGATTGCAGTCATTGCTTTCGGCCTCATGGCTCAGTGCTTCAGAAGTTCCAAGATGTCTCCGGAACGTGGGCGATTTATTAATTCTGTTGAGGTTGCTGTCACCATCCTGTTGGACATTGAAATCATCATTCGTTGTGCCGCAGGCTGGCGCTCTTTCTACAAGAGCAAGCGTAACCTCATTGATGCAGGCCTCGCTATTATCACAACCATCATCCTGATACCGCCAATCCGGAATTCTGGAGAAACTTATGCCTGGCTGACGGTCTTCCAAATTGTACGAGTCTATCGACTTGTCTTGGCTGTGCCAATGACCCGAAAACTCATTGTTATGGTTCTCGGAAACTCGAATGGTATCGCCAACCTGATGTTGTTCGTCTTCTTAATCACCTTTCTCATGGCCATTTTGGCAGCTCAGCTGTTCAGAGGCGAGATACCAAGTCACAGCGATAGTGGTGACCTCAACGAGGTCTCCTTCTTCACTGTTTACAACTCCTTCCTCGGCATGTACCAGATCTTGTCGAGTGAAAACTGGACCTCCATGCTGTACAATGTCACGTCTTACTTGAATGAGCACGATACGGGCTGGATCGGCGCGGTTTTCCTGATTGGCTGGTTTATCCTATCCTTCTTGATTCTCGTCAATATGTTCATCGCTGTCATTCAAGAGAATTTTGACGTTTCTGAGGATGAGAAGCGCCTCGAGCAGGTCAAGGCCTTTCTCCAAAGAAAAGAATTGGGCAAATCAGCTGGCAACCTCACGCTGTCGAACATTTTCACTTTCGGCAAGGCCAGACGGAGAAAGGATCCTCTGGACTACGGCCCAGCCATGATGGAAATGCTTCTCAAAGACGCCGTAGTGCACGAATTCCTCGACGATGCCGCAGAAGTGCCACAGGACACACCCAATGAAGAACGTTCGCCTACAAGAGCTCAAACGCACCACGTTGGTGAGGTCCGGCCTGGTTTTCTATCTTCCATGTGGGGGAAGTTCAAGTCTTCATTCAGCAGCAAAGACCCGAATCCGTTCTACTCGAACCTACGGTTTGATGGTCCCAATGACACTCTTGATCCACGACAAATGGCACGGCAGGCAGTTTCTGCCACTTCAGCACGCAAGAAAGCCCAGCGCGACTATCTTGCGAGACACCCCAACTACAATAACTCCCTATTCGTTTTTACGCCCAACAACCCTATCCGGCGCTTCTGTCAAAGAATCGTTGGCCCTGGCCGAGGAAATGAAAGATTCGAAGGTGTCGAGCCCAATAAGATTGCTTGGTATACTTCTTCAGCTTTCATATACGCATGTATCGTTGCAATGGTCGTAATTGCTTGCGTCACGACACCGCTATACCAGAAGCAGTATCAAGCAGAGCACCCCGAGTTCAGCATAACTTTTTGGTATGTCTGGACGGACTTGGCATTTGCCACAGTCTTTTCGGTTGAGGCTGTAATCAAAGTCGTTGCGGATGGCTTTTTCTTCACGCCGAACGCCTACTACCGGAGTTCTTGGGGATTCATCGATGGCATAGTGCTCATCACTCTGCTCATCAACGTCGGTACACTTCTAGCCAACGATGGCGCCGTTTCCAGAGCCATTGGTGCCTTTAAGGCTCTTCGTGCTCTGCGTCTACTCAACGTCAGCGACAGTGCTAGGGATACCTTCCACTCACTCATTGTGGTTGGCGGCTGGAAGATTCTAAGTGTAAGCTTGACCTCCATACCCATAAGCAATCATTTTCTCACTAATCGAACAGGCTGCATTTGTGTCCATCTCCCTGCTAATCCCCTTCGCCATTTATGGACTCAATATCTTCAACGGCCAGATGGTCAAATGCAATGACGGAGATGACTCGATCATGCTCATTTCCGATTGTTTTGGCGAATTCAACAATACACCATTCAATGACGATTGGCCCATGTTGGCGCCACGTGTTCCCTCTAATGACTATTTCAGCTTTGATGACTTTGCAGCGTCATTGTTTGTCCTCTTCCAAATCGTCAGTCAGGAGGGTTGGACCGATGTCATGTTCGCGGCACAGGCAGTCACTGGGCTCGGTAACCAGCCCAAGGACCTCAACCGTCAGGGCAATGCCATGTTCTTTGTTGTCTTCAACCTGCTGGCCACAGTCTTCGTTCTCACGCTGTTCATCTCAGTGTTCATGCGCAACTACACGGAACAGACCGGAGTTGCGTTCTTGACAGCTGAGCAGCGGTCTTGGCTTGAACTGCGAAAGCTGTTGCGTCAGATTTCTCCGTCCAAGAGCTCTTACAATGAATCAGAGAAAACTTGGAAGAAGTGGTGTCACAAACGCGCCATAGAGAAAAGGGGCAAATGGTATACAGCCGTCACCTACGTCCTAATCTGCCATCTCCTGCTGCTTCTTCTCGAGTATCATGGCGAACCACAATGGTGGACAGACTCTCGCGATGGGTTGTTTTTGGCGTTTACGCTAGTCTACATGGCCAACATTGCCATACGGATCATTGGTCTTGGCTGGGCTCGGTTTCGGAGGAGCTCGTGGGACTTATACTCGCTAGTGGTTGTCACCGGCGCGTTTGTCTCTACATCTGTGCTCATCATCAGCAGAAACAGCGATACTTATGTGCAGCTCCACAAGTTCTTCCTTGTGGCCATCCTCCTACTCCTTATTCCGCGGAACGATGCTCTCGACCAGCTCTTCAAGACAGCTGCTGCAAGTTTAACAACAATCGGAAACTTACTCGCTACCTGGCTTGTGTTCTTCCTGGTTTTCGCCATTGCTCTAACACAGGCATTCAGTCTGACGCGCTTTGGCGAGAATGAAGAAGCCAACATCAACTTCCGCAGTGTCCCCAACGCCCTGATTCTTCTTTTCCGAATGAGTTGTGGTGAAGGCTGGAATCAGGTCATGGAAGATTATGCAACTATCGAGCCGCCGCTTTGCGTTGACAACGCCGACTTCTTTGACAGTGATTGCGGCAGCAAACCCTGGGCTCGTTTCCTCTTCGTTGCATGGAACATCTTGAGCATGTACATCTTCGTCAACCTTTTTGTTTCTCTCATTTATGAGAGCTTCAGTTACGTATACCAACGGTCTAGCGGATTGGCTGCGGTAGACCGTGATGAGATCCGGCGCTTCAAGGAGGCGTGGCGGAGCGTCGATCCCGCCGGTACCGGCTTCATCAGCAAGGATGCCTTCCCTCGACTTCTTGGAGAGCTCTCTGGAGTGTTCGAGATGCGCATTTACGATGCCGACGACTCGGTCAGACAGATCCTGGAGGATGTTCGCAACGATGCTGCAACATCTGGAGCACGCCACATGTCTATTGCTTCTGCGAGCAACTACAGTGCGGGCGTCGACATCCACCGACTCAATGAGAGACTGGCGCAGATTGACGTTGTCAAGGTTCGCGAGCGTCGTCGTCGGTTCAACATCTTTTTCGAGGAAGTCATGGTTTCCGCGGATCCTGACAAGGGCATTTCGTTTACTTCTGTGCTCATGATCCTGGCCCACTACAACATCATAAATGACAGCAAGAGTTTGAAGTAGGTTTCCCCACACTAAGCCTGGCCACCGATCATACTAAAACATTCTGCAGACTGGAAGAATTCTTGCGAAGGCGTGCTCGATTACAGAGAGTGGAGGAGGAGGTGCGCCGCCGGGTCGTACTTGGCTTCTTTGACACCTTGTGAGTATCTCTAGTATTCGCTGACTATGGAGTCCCATAACTAACGGCGTCATATTCAGGTACTGGACTCGCAAGTTTAAGAAGCACATTGACATGAGAAAGTCGGCGAGGATGACTGCTATTCCCCAACTCGACATTCCCCATATCCTTGTTGACGATGATGACACACGACACAAGTCCTCGCCGGTGGCAGGAACCGGACAAACGAGGTCAGCGTTGCTGACAGTGGAAGACGCCCATAAATCGGCACACAATAGCTGGTCCGGATCGGGGCCGACAGACACGTCTGACGGCGACTATCAACACCCGCTCAGCTTCCCGCGGTCTGGGCCTACAACGCCAAGTCACCAGTCGACGCATTCCGCATTCAGCTTTGAATTACAAGAAGGTGGTCAGACTTCAGCTCAGAGCAGTCGAAGGGGAAGTGCTGTCACCCCACAGAGCCCCGTCAGCCCCGCACAAGTTAGCAACATGCTGGACGATTCTATTTGGCTCGAGAGTATTCGGAGAACTGCAACAGTCCGGAAATCGGTTCGAAAATCCGATTGGAGTAGATAGGTGCACCAGAAGGTGGTGCGTAGTGGATTTTATTTCTTGAGCGGTGGCGTTTAGGTTTGAGATGAAGACGTGTCATCGATTCTGGGCATAGCTCCTAGACCATGTTTTGAGCCACGAGAGGCATGAGCACCATGACCCTTTCGTTTTTCATGTTAGATAGAAAGATAGACGAAGCAACTTGCTCACGGCTTTGGTTGGTACTTGTGGCATGATGATGGCTATCATCAAGGCAGGGGCTTCGTAGACTGCACGTAGGGTAGTGTCTAATGCAGAAGATTTCATGAACATAATGATCCGTGTGAAGGAAGTAAGCACCCCGTGCTGTGAATCTCCCTGTCTCGATGTCATGCACAAATCCCACGACCAGTACCAATGACTAGAACGGTTGTTGCACTCAGATCAAAATGTCTCATGCCCCGCTTGGACATTGCGATCGGACATTGAGGCTTAGAAAGAAGAGACCAGTTTCTCGTTCATCTGAAAACGAAGATTACAGAGCCCATTGCTATGTCGAGTTATTCCCAGAGACAACCACGATGGTGCCGGCATGTCGTGAACGGAAAGCTCAAGTTTACATACTTATGCCATATCCTGTCATCGTAGTATTATAATCCCCTAACAAGTCGAAAGCTCCACTTGCATTAAAAGATCTGTTACCGTTCGTACGCTCTCTCATATTTCTTTTCGTCTCGGGTTCAGACATCAATACAGCAACGTTTGCTTGGCAGGCGTCAAAGAGAGGTTGAACTTCTTTACGCATGAACCCGAGGATCAGAACAATGTGAATTTCCTTCTATGGAAATCTGAAACCTTGCTTAATTTGTTCCCCCGAACGAAGACTCCGAGTGTTGAAGCTATGTTGTGTGCTGGAGCATCTGCAAGAAGGATTCTAGAAGATTTTTATCATTAAGATCCATCCCCCCTGACCCAAGACTCACTGAGCAAACGAGTGCACTCACTAGTGAGAAAACTTATTCATGAATACTTGGTGAGTGGGAAGAAATATCACGTAAATATCAGTCCTTCATCACGAGCTGTCGTCGGCGAATAAACCTGGGCTCTTGGCGGAGTGACGAAGAGACCAAGTTGCAACAGCGCCAAGAGCACAGCTTCTGAGATTGGGAATTGCCTCTGGGCTTCATGACCTACGTGCTACCCTAACTCCCGTATCTAAAGCCCAAGACCTTGTCCCAGAGGTCTGCAGTAGAAAGATCAGACGGGATGAAGTAGAAAAGAAGCTTCATCGACAGTCATCTATCGGGGTCGAACATGGTTCCGGGGATAGGCCTCGGGGAATTGACAAAGTCCTAGTCTAACGACGGGTCTGAGTCTCGTATTTTGTGACTTTCATGTCTCGTCTCGTCGAGTGTAGGGCCCTGGTCTGGTCTGGTCTCGTCTTGTCCGTGTCTCGTCGTCGCTTGGCACTTGCTCGTTTCATTTTCGCGAATGTTTCAATGTGCCCCTCCTCTCCTACTTTGGCCGTCATACGCGCACAACTACGGTCTACCTACCTGAGTGACGTGAGGATCGGAGGCCATCGAAGAGATAAGAGCTGATCTTCAAGTTCTGCACTCCTTTTGCCTCCGTATAGGAATATCCAAACTCTCACTCGATGCTCGTCTACCCGAACCTGAACACAATTGCAACAGTGGTCAATGGAGAGGACAGGGGTACGGTGAGGGGATACCCGGGGGTGGCCTTGTTTCCAGACTCAGTGAGCCCATGTCCCATCACATTATTCTTCCCCTTTCCTGGCTCTCAACCATGAGATCGACGGATGCTCACTGAAAGAGAAGACACTTGGACCTCTGTCTTGCCGGGGGATCAGTTGGGGGATGCGACAGTAAAGCGACTAGGAGAACGAAGACCCCGGATTTGGAGAGTTTGATGCGTGTGATGGTGTTTGTGATTCGGGTGCAACTTGAAAGGAACGGACGAGCTTCCTATTTAGTATGCAGAACAACAACACGAGATTTGGGATGAAGAGGTGAAAGAACATCGCATGGTGAAAGTTACGTGTCCGAAGTACACTGCCCTGACGGGACTTTATTTCGGAGTTCAGCTTCGAGACGACGCCCACTACGGGATTCGGCAGTCCATTTTTTACCTCGACTTTGCCATTTACAGCGTAATGGGGAGATGATATAGATAGACCGCCACAGTCTCTGCTAGATTGATATGCCCTTTTTTAGCACACTATATCATGGGCTCATACGAGTATTAAGTCTTTCGGCAGGCCCAGGAATATTCCTGGCAGAGCATTGCCACAGTGGCTCAGAGAGTTCTTCCAGAAGGCTTCGACACCCACATCACGGGCTTTCCGCCGCGTTGGCAGTGGCCATCCTCGTCAAGGGAAAACTCTGGTGCGAACGAGTGGCACGAACGCCGCGCTATGGCGATGAGCACGTTATGCGGCTGCGGTCAACCGTCCAGCGGCAGCCCATCCACCCAATAGCGCACATGCCTGTCCATAGCTTGCCATTCGCCTCCCCCAAGAGCTGAGGCTTGGGTAATGCTTTAGTTCTTTTTTTTAGGAGATACATAGTTGAGAGCTGCAGTATTCGAGGTAAAGTAGCAGCGGGTTACCTATGGAGACACAAGCTAAGGCTGAGGAGAGTGAGGTGTTTGTACGTAATCGTGGACACTCACCAACTTGTAAGTCCCAGGCCCGTCGTCAGGGTCGGCGTCAGCGTCAGCGTCAGCCATGAAGCACGCATGACATCGGCAATTTCGTTGGCGCGCGCCCCTGAAACAGCCGTGCGTTCTTTGTCTGCATCGCTGGGCTGTCTGGCTGTCACTCTGCTTGTCTTCCGTGGCGGTGACCGACCCCTGACACGCCTTACCCAACTGCCCGTATCATCACTTAGCTTATCGGGCTCTGCTCTCCGAAGTTATTGATCCGATGTATTCTCTTGGCCTCCGTGTCAGTAGAATCGTAGCCATGATGCGTGGGGAGGTACATTGAGGGATGGACGCTCGCCGCCTGTGCGTGAACAGACTTTTTTGGCAGTACGGGCACCGATGAAGTCGGTGGGAAGCCAAGACAAGCCAAGCCGAGGTGGCCGCTCCGTACCCGCCCGTACCCTTTCCATACTTTTCCCACAGGAATGGTACCTCCAGAGGTTCGAAAAACCCAAGGTGCCCCAGGGGAAACTCATCCCTTGCTCCTGGCCCCCCTGACGACGATCACACAATGCAGCCAGTTGGGACTAACGGAGCAGGAGGCTGCTACATACCTCAGACTGCCTTGCACCGGCTCCTGGGGCATCTCTTGCACGTTACAGAGCACTAGTTGCCTCTTGCCATCGCGTGCTGCTCCCATAAACTGATGGTTCTTGCTCTGGATCCGTATGTGAATCCCGATAAGCCAGCATCTACAGATACTGAACGCATCTCTTGCTGGTAAGGTGGTGCGCAAGTATGGCATATGCGGCACGCCATCTCACATCTCATATGGTTTCCCACCGGCCCCTCTGTCTTCCATCGATAGACAGACGTCCATAAACAAGTTTATCATGCCAGAGAAAGATATTGCCTTATCATCACAGTAGGACGCAGTGGGAAGACAAGTCAACTACCGAATGCCTCGACGTAAGTTCATCCGCCAAGGAATGAACGGGCTCAACGCAGGCTCGGTGTCCTCGTCCAAGTTGGACCGGTCCATCGCTCCCGTCTCATAGACTCAGTCTCAGAGCCACTCAAGTTACCTAAGACTACTCCCAAAGCATGCCGTTGCCTACGTACTCACATGCTGCCGTGCAGACAGAAAGAGGCACATCTGCGTCCGTCGTCTGAACAATATGTCTTCCGCCATCCAGCTCCGGTGGCATCCATGCATCTCGTCTTCCCAAGTTCCAACCGCATTGCTCATTGCCAAAAGAGGCAGCGTCCTGATGCCACACCTCGCATTGATGCCGTCTGCATCACACCCCTGAACCTCAAGCCCGCTTCTCCATACTATGTATGCATCCTTGGTATTTGAACCCTTCTTACACTTCTTAATCCTCCGCATATCCTCACTCCCCTGTCACCCTCTTAGTTCCCTGCCCATCCTTTCCACCTCCCGCGGCCCCTTGTTCCCTCTCTGCCACTTCGCTTCGTCTGCGATTGATTCCCTGCCAGGGGCAATTCGCTCGTCTCAGCCGGACTACTACTGCTGCCGAACCTAGCATACCTGTTCTACTACTAGCCTACTATTAGCCTCACGTTTTTCTCCCTTCCGAGTGTTCACATCTTCCGACACTTGATATAATCCATCCCGTTTCCGCTGTCTACGTTCCTCTTTTTGAACTCAGTCTACTCACAAATTCCACCCATTCAATTCTCGCCGTTCACTCGTTCATTTACCATACAGGCTGAGCCTCCAAATATCAAACATCTTCACCCACATTCCTAGACGTGTTGTCATCGAACTTGACCACCTTCGCCTCCCACTATCTCGCCATCATCCATATTCACCAGAGCTTAAGAAGTAGCAAAGTGTCGGAAACGCCTTACTCCTGTCCAAAATGCAGTCCTCTTCCCGCTTCCAGTCTATCACCTCCCGCTTCTCTCCGAGCACCCTCCGCACAACCTTCCGCCGCTCATCCTCAGCGTCCTCTCGTGCGAGCAGCGACCGAGGCTCCTTTGCCACCGCGGCGTCATCACCCGTTAGCACAATCAACAGCATCGTCTTCCGCCAGCCCTCGATGCTCGACCTCGAGGAAGAGCGCAAGAGCTTCGGCAGCGAGCTCAGCATCCTTGAGCCACGCCCTGTCATCTACTTTGGCAGTGTCGAGGAGCGCATCGGATCACTATAAGCGCCAACAATATAGTTTGGTCACATGTTTTTACGAACGGCGGAGACGATGGAATTTCGACACGCCATTATGTTTATGAGCCTCGGAGCTCTCGGGTCTGAATCGGATTAGACTGGGATCTGATTTCAATGGGGAAGCTTGGAAACACAACAAGCCGGCGTTCAAGGAGTTTCGATCTCAAGGGAATGAGCCTAGAAAAGGCATTCCGGGAGACACTCATGGTTTCTTTAAGTAGCTGGGGGCGAGGCTACCACTGTTGAGACATCGCCATGTTGCGATTAGGATAGAGCAGCGGCTTGAAAAGCAACGCAATATGTTATCCGTCTTTTTTCCACCCCTTCATACCAAGATACACCACACGCACAGTGGTCTGGCTTTAGCGAATGAGTGATGTCGACGACAGTCTTCAAACTGAGAACCCATTGCCGTTGACGCCGTCTGATTCACCGTTGGGGATGAATGAGGCCACACATATTCGCCATTGTAGACAAAGCTCCGATGTCACCCCTTTAACGGGCCACCAACCCAAAGGTGTACTTACTGGCAGTGCCTACAGCACCCCAAGATAGAGGACCGATTGATTAGTTTGGTTTATCAAACAAAGGAAAGGCCAAGGAGACAGTTCCTTCGCCTCACCGTCAGCAAAGTAGCGCAAGTCAGCAGACGCCTGCGGGTACTCAATCAAAACGGGCCGCCGCCCATCCTAGCATCAATTCGAAACAGGCTATTTCGATACACTTTTACGCTTGTAAGAAGATCTTGAGCTATACAAAACTAAAGGCACTCAGACGAGCAAAGTCAAGCACGCAAGAAATATCCTTGCCAGAAAAAGAAGAAGACGAAGAAGAAAAATAATGTCCCAGCATTCACCCTCGGGAGACGACCCCGTTCCAAAGATGTGGTGGATCATGGTCGGCGGGAACAGCCTTGCGTCGTCCCCGACGTGGAACCGCCTCCTGTCTATGGCGGACGAACGCAACAAGGTAAGGCGGGACGCAGAGAAGGAGAAGATGGATTTTCAAGAGGCTCAGAAGACTGCGAAAGAGGAGCTTGAAAGGGCGAAGAAGACGTACAAGGAGACGTTTGGCGGCGGGGTGGCGGCTTGGAGGGAACGAAACCGCGGAGCGGCAGCTAATGGGGACGGAGCCGGGACCGGGACCGGGACTGGCCCAGATCACGAGCACCGCACGGGAGAAACGACCACCCCTGAGGACGGGCCCCAGGCAGATAGGTGAGCATCCTGCGGCTTTCTCCGAGCTTGAGCTTGATACCATGGCTAGATGAACACGGAGCGCCGCTGCCATTGCATGGGATATGATAAGGAATAGGGGATCCGGGTGCGGAACATGACGCAACAATACAGCTGCGGTATTTTGGGAGAATGTGCCGGAGGTCGGCAGCTCAACATCAATAGCTCTATGATACAAATACTATGGCATACATTTACAACAGGGGCGTCGAGCTTCGTTTCAGGCCCGGTAAATGTCTGATCGTGTCCGTCTACAGTAGGATCTCGTCGATGGACTAGCATGACTTATACTAGCATGACTTATGAGGCCTTGCTTCTTCTCTTGCCCATGTTGCGTACTCTGGGCTCGACAACCCACTTGTTGAAGTTGTGCTTGCGGCGGGTCTTGAAACCGCCCTTGGCCTGTAGGATATATGTCTTAGTAACTATGAGGGAAGGAAGAACAGCAGAAAGAAACTTACCGGAGTGCCCCAAGGACTGGTAGGGTGGCGGTTACCCTTGGACTTACCACGACCACCACCGTGAGGGTGGTCGACTGTCAGCTGATTGTTAGCATTTCCAACCCATATAGTCAAGCTTGGATACACGTACCGGAGTTCATGGCAAGACCACGGACAGTGGGGCGAATGTTGAGCCATCTGCTTCGTCCGGCCTTGCCCAACTGTCTGTACTGGTGGTGGGGGTTGCTGGCGACTCCGATCGTTGCGCAAGCGTCTTTGCTGACTCTGCGGATCTCGCCGCTCTGAAGACGGACGTTGATGTACTTGCCCGTGACAACCTTGGTACCATCGTCCCTGGTCTCTTCCTCCTTGGATACCACGATTGCGTAGGTACCAGCACTGCGACAGAACACAGCGCCGCCCTTGGCTCTCGAGCCAACGTTGAAGACGACAGTGCCGACAGGAATCATGTGCATGGGAAGGCAGTTGCCTCTCCAGGCGGTCTTGGCTGCCAAAATACCGGGATCGACGACGCCACCCATGCTGTCGAGAAGATCTTTGGGGATACCGGAACGGTAGCTGTGGACGACGTCACCGGCGCGCATGCCCTCGGCGGCGACGATGTAGCTTTTGCGCCCAGTGGACTTGTTGGAAAGCAGCGCAATGTGAGCACTTCGACCCGGATCGTACTCGATGCGATCGACCAAATGCGGACCAGCCTGCCAGCGATCAAAGTCAACGGTGCGTATCCTCCTCTTCGCGCCGCCTCCGTGATGTCTGACGGTGATTCTTCCAGAGTTGTTACGACCTCCCTTGCCGTGGCCCTTCTTGGGATAGGTCAGTGGCAAGAAGGGTCGCCCCTTCCACAGGTGATCATTGATCGGACGCCTCAGATGACGGACACCGGGTGTTCGCGGCTTGTAGGTGCGCATAATGGCGGAATCATTGCTTGCTTTCGCGATGGTCGGAATAGGAGGGGCGGGCTCGGTGGTGGATTTTGCGGCGGGCTTCTCGACAGACTTCTTCCTCGTTGCGGTAGCATATTGTCGAAGCGCAAGCCCACGAAAGGCGGTCGAACCGAGAAGACTTGCGCAGCTCCTCTGAGCCGACAAGAGCATCATAGGGCGCGACATGTTGGCATTGATATGCGTTTGAGAGTCGAAGTGTAGGTTCCCTCTTCTCGAGTCGGTTAATTGTGTTCAGGAGAAGCTGCTCAGCGCAGCATATCGCGTAAAAGGACGGGTTCGGTCGGGGTGCAGCGGCAGCAGGAAGGCGAAGACAATCCTAAGATAGGTCTCAATTGCTCAATTGAGCTCAGAACTATCCAGATCCGACCCCAATTGCCGTTGGGATACTCGTTGGGTGGGAATACGGTCCCTGTTGTCGTGATTGCTGGAGCGACTCTCCAAGGTACGCTTGAGGCCAGTGCAGATTTCGAGCTTTAGGAAATAATTATTCTGCCGGCGCCGATGAACTGACGTCCAGGAATGGAAGCCCGGCCATTGGCGGTACGTACTGCTACAAGAAAGCTTCAGCCACACTTTAGTGGGTATATGTGGCTCAATTCTCGAGTTAAGCCTCAGACGCCTCGACACGACCCGGCCAGGCCGCCTCTGGAAGCGTGACGGGACGTGGTTGGGAAGGCAGCCAATTATGTTCTGGTTGCTCCGCGGTTGCTGCTGTTGATTGCTATTGTGACCGGGGTAACTCCCCATTTTCCACGTCTTTTTTTTTTTTTTTTGCAGTCTTCTCCATCAGCCAGCAGACCTTCTTTCGCGTGCAGCCGGGGCAATCGCGTATCCACCCTCAGACTGCTCCCACTCTCGCTTGGCTACAACCACGACCCTCGAACTTCCTCATAAGCCTACGATTATCTCCGGGTCTAAGGCACTTTGATATTCCTGCTGCTCTTTTCGAGGTATCTTCAATTTCGCCCCAGGCAACCGACAACAGAAACACATTCTCATCACTGTCGCCTCTCGAGCTTCTCTTTCATCCATAAGAGAGCTTCTTATTCTCATACTCACTTCACAAAAACCAAAACCATCACCACGGCATCATCCTTCTTGTCGCATACCGCACACACCCACCTTCTCACCTTGCCAGCATTCCATCCGACCTGTTCGTCACTGTCTGCACCGCCAGGTCCTCTACGGTACCTACCTGAATCACACACTGGTGAATTTATTCGATTCACTACCTCCATACGCCCAGAGCTAGATATATATCTTGCTCTTGCCCGGCCTTCACCTCACCTTCCTCACCTGTTGCACGCTGCACACAAAGAAAGCTCGAATTCCCTTATGAGATTTCATTGAGTCGCGACTACATCCTCAGCCATCGTTCACGACAAAGACACCCCCGACGCGACTTTCCCTTTTAGCGAGAGTCAAGAAGCCACTCCCTGTCCGCCGTTCGCGTGTGCACCAACTGCACGCCTGTCTGCTTCAGATACGCTACTGTGGTGACCAAACCAGGGCCACCGCGAGCCGCGACTTGAAAAAATCGGTACGTACCTCCCAAAGCTGGCGGCTCTGGTCCCATTCACAATAACGTACCCACTGCATACCACATCACGTCCATCCGTTCCCACTACCTCAGCAAAACACATCACACACTGATTGTCCTTCCACCTCCTCCCACATAAACAACCTCAGTTTTGCCCAAAGCCCAAAGCCCAATTCCCTAATTACTCTACCTCTACCTTTGTATTGCCATTTTCTCCTCTGTCCCAGCATCTTTGCATCTTTGTCAATTGGCACCCGGGACGCGACTGATCCCGCCCATCAAGTGTTTGGCGTCAAACCAGAGCAAGCGTTTTGCCCGCGTTCGAGTCGCCCGTCATCATCATTCCCCAAGGTATGCATGTCTCGACCTTGCTCACCTCGTCCCATTGCCGCGCTCTTCCTCTTTCTCTCTTCTCAAGCACAAGCTGCCACAACCTACACTGTCTCTGCTGGCGACCTGACCAGCATCTTGACGCGTCCCAATGCTAACCTTGTCTTTATAGAGTCCTCCACCTCAGATACTCAACTTGACATAATCAGTTGACAAGATGCCCGTAAGTCTACTCGTAAATGCGTGTGCCTGCAATACGCGCAGTATGCTCTCGTCATGTCGACATCATGCTCACCTTTTCTTTCAGGTTACACGTCCGGCGCGTACAACACGCCTCGTTTCAAACGAGAACGATGAGAACAGCGGAACCACGCGCATGACGCGTGCCAAAGCAGCCGCGCTGAGCGTTGATGAGCTCGCTGTCCCAGGAAAGGCCCTTGCCACGAAGAAGTCTGCAACCAACGCGATCCCCGCAGCTCAACGAACCAAACGCGCCGCCCTCGGCGATGTCAGCAACGTCAACAAGCCAGAGGCTGGCGCAGGCAAAAAGCCCGTTGGCAAGGTCGGCCTCGTCTCCAAGGCTGAGAAGCCTACTGGAATTACCAAGAAGTCTACCAGCACCACCAGATCAGTAGCACCCAGAGAGAAGAAGGACAAGGCACCCGGCTCAGGATCCGGCGCGATCTCGAAGAGAAAGGTCATCACGACAAAAGTCGTCAAGGAGGAGAAGGAGATCTCTCTGGAGGACAGCGAACCCATGCGGAAGAAGCCCTCTACCGAGACTCGTCGAACTAAGCCCGACCAAGAAAACGTCAAGAGCCAGACTCCAGTCGAATCTGAGCCTGTCAATGCCCAAAAGCCTGTCGTATACCCCCCCGGCGTTAGCAACCTGGACGAGGAGGATCTGGACGACCCGTTGATGGTGGCTGAGTATGCCAATGAGATCTTTGAATATCTCAAGGACCTGGAGTGCAACTCCATTCCCAACCCCAACTACATGGAGCACCAGGACGATTTGGAGTGGAAGACGCGTGGAATTCTGGTCGATTGGCTGATTGAGGTGCACACGCGCTTCCACCTTCTCCCCGAGACTCTCTTCCTGGCTATCAACGTCATTGACCGCTTCCTCTCTGAGAAGGTCGTGCAGCTCGATCGCCTGCAGCTTGTCGGTATTACCGCCATGTTCATCGCCTCAAAGTACGAGGAAGTTTTGTCGCCTCACGTCGCCAACTTCCGCCATGTCGCCGATGATGGATTCAGCGAGGCTGAGATCCTCAGCGCGGAGCGATTCGTTCTGGGAACCCTGAACTATGATCTGAGCTACCCCAACCCCATGAACTTCCTCCGTCGTATCAGCAAGGCCGACAACTATGACATCCAGTGCCGTACCATCGGCAAGTACCTCATGGAGATCAGCCTTCTCGACCATCGTTTCATGGCCTACCGCCCCAGCCATGTCGCAGCCGGCGCTATGTACCTGGCCCGCCTCATCCTGGACCGTGGTGACTGGGTATGTAACATTGATTACAACAAAGTAAGCTAGTTGACTGACTATTGCAACAGGACGAGACCATCGCATTCTATGCTGGCTACAACGAAGAGGAGATTGAGCCTGTCGTTCGCCTCATGGTGGATTATCTTGCTCGTCCCGTCGTCCACGAAGCCTTCTTCAAGAAGTATGCAAGCAAGAAGTTCCTCAAGGGTAAGCGCCTTCTCGGCCCCGCGCCTCATTTGCCTCGCTAACATTTGTGTAGCTTCCATTCTCACCCGCCAGTGGGCGAAGAAGAGTGCTCCTCACTTCGGCATTGTCGATGTTCACCTCTCCCTGGACCAGATCTCAAACAAAGAAGACGAGCAATACCCCGAGGAAGAGGAGGAGGAAGCCAACTATTAGCGAACCTGCGCCGAGTAGTTGGATGATCTTCAGCGTTTACGGCCACTTTTACGAATGCATACATCGGCGGCGCGCACCTCTTTGAGTGCAGCAGTTGCCTTGCCGCGTAACCCCTGGTTCTCAACTGTAGCCCTCGCGGGCTTGTAGGGGGAAGGCGACTAGGCTTATTACTTTTCTCTGGGTTAGATCGTGTCCAGACTCATCTGTCAGATATGGGCAGCTGTTTTGTGTTGCTTTATTTTTTGTGGGTTTACATTTTCCATCGCATTGGGACTTCGTTGCTCTTGTCTCATGAACGGCGCATGGAGTCAGAGGACAAGGATATCACGAAAGCGGACGGTTTGGCTGGAGTTCGTTGACTCTGTCTTCCACTTGGCTGGCAAGACATGGAATTCACTTATTTTGTGTGTTAAGGCATGGCTGGCCTACAAGTGAGGGTGTCTTGTCGTCTAATCGTTGCTCCCGTTTGGAGTGTTTTGATGATGCGCAATGAGGGAAAGCAAACATACCATACATCGGGGGGCGGGGGCAGGGGTTAGCTTATAGCCAACAGCACCGTGAAAAAACTTGTACATACATCTGTTCGGAGAATTGGGTTCAGGGAGGGCTGAATAAATTGCATTGCGTTTTTCTGTTCGAAACGACGGGAGCTAACATGAGTTCATGTGCCTGTCTCTCAATCACCAGAAGTAAACCCTTGGACAAGGAGTATGTCTTCGGCGGAGGACTCAACACACTCATCCTGCCACCCGTGAGATGAAGTTGCCTTTGTATTCAAGGTAGGATGATTGAGTCGGGTGGTCCATTACTCTAGGGGAGCTGTGATGTTGAGCATCACATGGTATGAGAGCTGAAACCTCTTTGGGGTGTATAACAAGATTATTTGACAAGAACTATGTGACACTATATAATATACACTATATTACGATTTGGTAGAATTCCAGACATGGCAATTATTCGGTGGGCGTAAACATCATCGAGCAGCTTAGTCTGCAGAGGGCAACAGACTTTGCTCTCCTCCGAATCTAGCGACAATTTGGAAGAGGCTAGGCCTAGGCCTAGCTTTAACCAAGGGTTGTGCGCGCATCTGTTCGGTACCAGTTGGCCTTGGGGTCGCCGAGGCACTCGCCGATGGTGACCATGTTCTTGCCCTTGAACTTCTGGAGCGTGAACTCGGTGAGGTTGTAGACGGTCTGGTAGTGGATGTCGTGGCCAATGAAGAGGAAGTTGTCGCTGGCGGCGGGCTTGGCGGCGATAGCCTGGGTGACGATGTCCTTGGACTGCTGGATCTCTGTGGCGCTGTCGTGCAGGTAGTCGGCGCTGTCGAGGTCGAAGTAGATGATGGAGTAGCCGAGCGCCTTCATGTCCTTTTCGCAGCCGCAGGCGGCGGTGCAGGAGGAATAAGGGGGTCTTTTTTGAGTGTTAGAATAGAATATTTGGAAGTTCCACGCAGGGTTGATTGGAGGGCTTTGCTGGAATTACCTCATGTAAGTAGGGAAGACACCGATGATGTTGCGGAGAGCCATTTCCAGCTTGTACATCTCATCCTTGCGCTGCGCCGAGGTGATGCTGCACTAGTTTCTCAGGTCAGCATACTCATCGGCGAGAGGACAGGCCGTTATGGCAAGTAGACATACCAGATCAGCGTGGGACCAGGTGTGGCTGGCAATCTGGTGACCTTCAGCATACATCCGCCTATCGCTCAACGTTAGCCAAGGTAACCCTACAGGTCTTGCTGGAGGGGGGCTGAAGTGGTTCATACTTGATGGTGTTAACCCAGGGGAAGGTAGCATTGTCGATTTCACCCTTGCCGTTGTTGTTGCCGGTGATCATGAAGCTGGCCGAGGCATTATACTTCTTCAAGAGATCCAACAGGTCGTTCGTGTACGCGGCCGGGCCGTCGTCGAACGTCAGGGCAACGTCGCCAGGCTTGATGCAGCTGTAAACACCGGGGCCGCCGTACTCGACCGAGCCGAGCTTGGGGCGGGCGATGCTCGAGGTGTTCTGACCAGGAGGAATCTTGTTGGCATCGCAGGCCGGGCCGTACTGGAACAAGCAGTCCGGAGCCTTGCAGTGCTCTACATTCATGTTAGGGTTTACTACTTCCAAACCAACATGGCTCGAGTTTCAATTACCTGTAGTGGTTCCGCAGAATCTGTTATGATGTTAGCGAGACTGGCACGGTACGACATTGGAGGAATCACTTACCCTGCCGCAGAGCAGCATTCGTTCGCGGCGCACTTGGCATTTCCGTTGTCGGGGCCACAGACCCCCGACCCGGAGTCGCCGCCATCGCCACCGGTTGCCGGCGGGCTACCGTTGTTGTTACACGTACCGAACGCGGTCTGGCAGCCGTTGGTCGCCAGACAGTAATCATCGGTCGAACCGCACCAGCCATTGACAGAGCAGCAGGCCAGATCCGTGGGGCAAGTGTATCCCGCCGCGCTACCACCGTTACCAGTTTTTCCGCAAGAGTTGTCGGGAGACACGTTGACTGCTACTGCGGTGCTGCTTGGGCTGCTGACAGGTGCCTTGCTGCTGCTCGCCGGCGCCTTGCTAGCGCTCGCTGATGCTCTGCTGCTGCTGCTCGCTACTACCGGTGCCTTGCTGCTGCTGCTGCTCGTCGTCCCCTTGCACGTACCAAAGCCGGTCTGGCAACCGTTGGCGGGCAAGCAGTAGGCGTCAGTAGAACCGCACCAGCCATTGACCGAACAGCATGGCAAATTGGTAGGGCAGGTGTACGCCTTGGAGCTACCTCCGTTTCCAGTCTTTCCGCATGAGTTGTCTGGGGAAACGGCCCGGATGCCGAGAGGAGGCGAGGCCACAGCCGTTCCGGCGAGGGCGAGCACGAGAAGCTCGAGAATAGACATGGTGAACTGTTAGTCGATGAGTCACAGGGCACAGTCCCAAAGAGCCAAGAAAGAACGAGCGTGGTGTGGAGAAGAGCGAGTGAATGTCAACCAGATCAAGCCAAGAAGTGCGGCGAAAGGAGACGACTTAAGAACATCGAGCCTATGCCCCTAAAGGCCCCTAAAAGAAAGTTGTGAAAAACGCGAATCACCAAAACGGTGAGCCGCAAGATCCTTCTAGGAATCTAGAGGCTCGAGATGGGACTATCTTTGTCATGGCGCGGTAGTAAAGGGGCCCCGCTGCTGTGTTTGAGAATCAGTTCAATGTCAGGGTCAACTGCTTTGGGGTCGTCAAACTACCATCGGTTGCTACATCGTATGAGATGGTGGCGTTTTCAGAGTTGTGGATGGCTCTAGTTCCACAGAGACTCCTGGTGCCGTTGCAGAGAGATGGAATACCAAAGTGGGCATAGCGATGGGCGGGCGAGAATAGGGGGCTTTGACCGAAACAAGCTGCTCTTACGATGTAGGATGCGGCTAGCGGATGCTCCCTCGAGGACCGTGTGTCGACGAGGTCAGAGTTCCTCGGAAACAACCTAATGCTACCCTAGCTGCGTGTGGTAGAATGGAGCTGAGAAGCGACACTGAGGCATTGCTGAGACAAAGTCGAGAAGCATCATGGTAGATGTTGTGCGCTAGCTGAATGTCAACATCGCGGACCGAAGACTTGGCGATGAGAATCGGTAAACGTGACCACGGGCGGTTGACGATATCTGATGGCGAAAAGCCATCGACCCTTTTTGGAACACAATGCTTGATCGCAAATCCAAGCCAACTGAGCGGATGACCACTTGGATCCGAACCTCGGTGGCGGTGGCCGTTCAAAAGCTAGCTTGCATTGCGGCAGGTGAATAATAGAGCCCGTGTACGGCAGCTGAGATTTGTTTTGGTGTTTTGATTCCTCCATGCTGGAGGCAAATCCGGGGTGAGGGTCTCCGTGAAGACAACGGAGCCGAAATATATCGAAACAATGGCCCGGCCGATCCACGGCGGAAGCGGGACCGCAAGTATTACATATACCCCGAAAATCTTTTTTGCTGCTGCGACTTGATGAATAGATATGGTTAATCGTTAATCCGCAATCTTGTTCCAAGTGCACATTAGTCGACAGTGAGGGTGAGGCCGTCTGTTGTTTAGGTTAGCTAACTACTGGCGAATCACGACGCCCTAATGCCATCTCAGAGAATCGGAGAATTAATTGCCCTCAACCGCAGCTTGACCCTGTCTCCGACGGGATGTTGGCTGAACACGTTTCCATCTTCAGGGGTTGCAGCCATTTGGAAACGTGAGCGAACTCCAGGTCATTCATTAGGCATGGCTCGGGATCTACAGAGCCAATGAAGCACCCCAAACGGTGTGGGACAGGGGGTTGATTTGGCATTCCCGGTCCAGAGGTAAAAATGGGGGTTCGCAGGAGCTGAAAACACTGGATCGTACTAACTTCGCGAGGAGTGCCGTGGCGACTCTGTGGTTCTGATAAAGTTCTGTTTTAATTTGAACAAATGAATAAAGTAACTATCACCTGGGTATCTGTTTCCGCCGTACATTACGTTGCTGTAGCGACGATCTGCAAGCAAGTGATCAATGGGAATTGAACACATCCTTTGCATCGGCGCCCGAGAAGACCGCGGAGCATTTATTGGCTGTCACAGCGCAGTGGAGGAAAAAGATGATGGCAGCGTCGCCGGTTCCATATGAGTTTGTCGTGGTTGACCAGAGGCTCCCAGTAGTAACTTAGGCTCGAGATCCACAATCTATGAAAGGACCAGAAGGTATATTCGTATTTCGATTCCTGTCAGCGATATTTTCTGAAATGTCTCTTCGGCCCACCCTGGCTGAGTTGTGGCATTGGGCAAAGGCCACGCGTTAACAAAATTGACGAAGATGTCGACGTGCCGGTCTTCCGATGATCCCGGGCCAAGGTATGGTGCAAGACGGAAGAGGCGAACAAACAAGTCCGGTGTGCGACGAGAAGCGACTGTCGTGATGGCTGGCTGATCAAGACGATGTTGGGAAATAAGTTGGAATGGAGACGAACTAGCCTGGAATCTCCAGACATGGCTAGGTGTAGGCAAAGATGAGGGCTGTAAAGGTTTCTCTGTCAGTTAGACGCTGTGACGCTCAACTTGATGGAACTGCCGACTGGTCACGGATACAAGTGTCTGCCGTAGTTGTGTGTGTGTGTGTGTGTGTGTGTGTGGCAGTTAGCGAAGATCGAGTGACGGCGTCTGCTTGGCATATTTGTGGCATAGAGCAACGAATTTGGTGCGCAATCTTCTATCCTTGGTTTGTAAAGTGGTTCACAGAATCCTAGACCCAAGACAGTCAATGATCAGAGCAAAAGAGCGCGATGCGACGGGCAAGTAATAGTGACAGGTTGATGAAAGTGAAGCTGACAAGACTCTTGGCAGAGTCAGAAGTGATAGGATTGAGTCGATTGACTGCTGTGATCCACAGTGCCGAGACCCAAGCCACCCTCGCCGGTGCATCGTGCGTCCTGCGGTACGTACTGCCTTAGGTAAGGCAAGGTAAGTGAAAGGGGCTCCTTTCGCAACGGGAGCACGGCACCACGGGAGGAAGGCGCGCAGGTCTGGTATGAGGTCTCAGATGGGGCCTTCTCACCTCCGTAACGGGGATGGAAATCAGAGGTACCTTGCAAGTATCCGCCAGGCATAGCCTTACCAAGTACCTTCCTTTCCTTCCCTTTTTTTTTTTTCTTTCCTCCTTCGGCGATGAAAGAAGTCGCACAGGACACAAGACGGGCCAAATGGGCTCCCTCAGGCGCCCTCTCAAACACTTGGGAGACTCGGGATTGGTCCTTTGACTCTAGTGAAAGAAAATGGCTGGGGCTGCCAGCCAGTGACCCCTTCACATTTTCAAATTTTCCTTCTTCTTTCGGCTCTGCGCGCAACGCGCAACGTATGTATGGATACGTGATGCCTTACCTATTCTCTGCTGCCAGCTAATAAGGTGTATCGCCCCTCGGGTTCCGTTCAATGCTGGTGATGAAATGGCAGGGCTGTGGCAACGTACCCGCGGGATCCTAAGCCGTGAAATTAGCCAAGTGAGGAAAGGAGCCAGATGCTAATTGCAAAGCTACGTCAAAATTGGGCTCGGTCATGCTGTGTTAGTCTGTACTCTGTTGGCTTCGTCCAAGCCCAAAAATACATTAGATGCGATGGTAGATGATCGGCTGCGCCTGCATCAGGGGACTTCCTTCATCTGTTGCCTGTTGGCGTTCCTCAAGCTCGTGCTCACCTTCAGTATTCATGCATTGCGCTGTCAGTCATCTGCAGACCCCATAATGCCCATCAAAGTTTGGACGTGTACGGATGAACGAGCCCTACCGTGGCTAACAATGCCAACTATTTTTTTTGCCATGCTTCAGTTCTAGACAGCTCATGAGCTGGAGGATTATTGATACCCTTTGCTGGACTGGCTGCTTGATGTGTGTTCTTCCATGCTAAGCTTGCCCTGGTCGATGTACCTCAAGGTATCACCTTAGCCATCAGCTCCTCTTGAATCGCCCCAAACTACCGCCGCCGTCTCGAGCACTGCCACGCGACTGCTTACTCCGTTTGTTTCGGCACCCTCCATCCCTGCCATCGACCTCAAAGTGCATTCGTCGCTTCCACCTTCATCTCAGGACAGCTCCCATGTCCCCTGAGCCTTGATCATACTGTATAGAACATCCAACAGTTCGACTTGCTTTCACAATTTCTCAAAACGTCTCTCCGTATTCAACTGTCATCGGGCTTTCTACAGTCCGTAACCTGACCGCCGCTGCCCATTCTCGCCAGAAACAAGATCAACCAGCAGACCAAGACCCTCCCGCCGCATATACCGTGCTACTACGCTTGGCGCGTTCTCAAGTTCCTTACACGTACCTTACACTACACATTATTCAAACATCAAACAAGTCGCCGGCCCCTCGTGTCTTGTTGCCGTTTCTGCACTTCTCTTCTTACTCGCGCCAGCCAACCTTTGCCTTTTCCACTCTCCCATCGCAACTCAGACCCGACTCACTTTCAACTTGGCCCGATAATTCTAGCAGTCCCGATTTCGCCCCTGCCTCTCTCTCGCCTCTCGCCTCTCACTCTAGATACCTTTACGTGAGGTACCGCAGCCCCCGGCCAGCCACCACCCGTTTGCCGTATCCGCGCGCACCAATTCACTACGCCATCATCGTCGCCGTGCGGATCCTTTCCCCATTCCTAACCCCATAACACTAAAACTCTCTTTCCCTCTGCCCATACAGATACGCCTGCTGCCTTTCGTTCACCTGAAGTAGCTTGGAGCCACCTCCCTTCGGATTCGGATGACCCCTTCTCCTTCCCCAGTTACTTCTTAACTTTTCCTTCTCTCCCCTCACCCTTCACCTCATGTCCTCGTCCATTCCTCTCGCAAACTTGTCGCCCTCATCGAGGCCCTCGTACTACAAGATGCCCGAATCACCTGCGCCCTACTCCAGGCGCCGTCCGCATCGCGGCCACTGGACTCCCTCATTAATTGGATCATACGTCTTCGACTGGCTCGTCCTCGCCGTTGCCGGCGGCATTGCCACCGTGTTGGGCATTATCGAGCCGAACAAGCGTCCTTTCTCTGTCCTCGACCCCAATATCTCGTAGGACACCAAAACCGCTGCTTAGCGTTCCCTACTCTACCGCAACCTGCTGACCCAAATTTCAACAGGTTCCCTTTCACACACCACGAAACCGTGCCTATGTGGCTAGCCGCCATCATTGCTGTCGCTGGTCCCATTATTATCATCGCTGCCGTGTGCCTCATCCTCGTCCCCGGAAACACAGTCCCCAAGGGAACTCCCAAGGGGCTCATCTGGAAGCGGAAACTGTGGGAACTACACGTCGGGTATCTCGGTCTCGCTCTCGCCCACGTAGGCGCCTTCTTCATCACGAACGGCATGAAGAACATGTTCGGCAAACCACGACCCGACCTTCTCTCCCGATGCCAGCCCGACCTAGAGAACATTTCAAAATACATCGTTGGTGGCACTTCCCCCAATATCACCGGTCTGACAGGTGCGACGGGCTTTGGCCAGCTCGTATCTGCCGCCATTTGCCAAAACACCGATTCCCACACTCTCAACGACGGCTTCCGCAGCTACCCGTCCGGTCACTCGAGCTCCGCCGCTGCGGGCCTGATTTACCTCTCTCTGTTCCTCGCCAGCAAGTTCGCCGTCACCCTACCGTTCGTGGCTTCGGACAATGGGGCTGAATCGCACTCGGCTTTTCCCTCTCGCATCAAGAAGACCGGGTCTGGCTACGAGGAAGTTGGACTCGGCGAAAGCGGCTCGCTCAACCCCGACTCTACCACCGCTGCAAGGAACTTGGCTGAGCACAACAAGGTTGTGACGGCTGTCCGTCGACAAGCTGCTGCCCCTCCGATCTATCTCCTGACCATCGTCGTCCTACCCTGGTTCGCTTCCATCTTCATTGCCGGCTCTCGCTGGTTCGACTTCCGCCATCACGGTTTCGATATTCTCTTCGGCTACATGATTGGAATCTTCACTTCTATCTTTGCCTTCCGCTACTATCACCTTCCAATTACCCAGGGTGCCGGTTGGGCTTGGGGCCCCCGAAGCCACGACAAAGCTTGGTGGTCTGGCGTTGGCTCGTACAGTTACGCGACTGACAAGGGAGATTTCATTCGGCCCGGCGATGAGGAAGAGGCATATGTGTCGAGACCTGTCATTGCCCAAGCAACGTCGACGCAGTACATGGGCAAGCAAGGCTCTCATGAAGAGCCAGAGGCTGAAAACCGATTTTGATGATGATAGACTTGAGTGCGGCATGCCAAAATAGCATCCATCGCATTTCCATACTGGGCATATTGGGGCATGAACGGAGTTAACGGTATACCACCCGCCTGAAAAGGAACTGGCGGGGGCATTGAGCAATTGTTTCTTATGGGGCCAGGCATGGCATACAGATATGACCGTTACGGAATAGATTTGTGACTGACGAATTCTGTTGAGACGTTTCTCTTTTGCAAAGTGTCATTATGTGTGAGGAACATTGACAGTGTACTCACTGCAAGAACTCTTCGTACATGAGCACTGTAGTACGTGAGTCGTAGTAACCGAACCTCGAACTGTCGCAATGACTCTTAGTTCGAGTTTTCCTTCCGACCCAAGATACGGAGCATGCAATCGGGTAGAAAGGCTTGGGAGGGTCATGCGTGCATACTCATCCATGATCACCATGGTCCCTGCCGACAAGACCAGACTAGCCTTTTTTAAACACTTGCAGTATTTGCGCTTGGCCTAACTACTCCCGAACCGTAGTCCAAGATCAGGATATCCAACTGGATCTTCCTGACTGCTTGCCTTTTCAACTGGGCTGTCATATAGGGAAGAATCACAGCTCATTACCTTGCCAACGATAGCCCGATTCTAGTGCTCTACCCTGCCTGGACACCAAGAGAATCTATAAACCCACTGAACGTCGAGCTTTGGATATGCTCATCAAGTATTAATCTCTCAAACATGTGGTTGAGCACGAGTTCTTCAAGTGTAGCGTCTTAGGACCACATCACGAGATGGTAGCTAGTTGATCATGAAAGCCATCATATCATTATTCCCGAGGCCCCAGTCTACCGAATAGGAGAGATGAAACTAAGAAAAAAAAAGGTAATAGCAAAGCGGAGGAAGCCATGCCTGGCCCCCCCCAAAAAAAAAAGCCTTTTATCAGGTCGCCCCCGTGTGCAATGTCGATGTGTACCTGGCTAGGTAGGTAGCCAAAGATCAGCGAAACCGTCTTCGCCTGGTATTCCTTCTACTTCACGCCATGGCAACGCCCTCGTCTTCTCCAGGCCGTACGCGGGCTTCCGTGCCCTCGAACTCAACATCGTCCTCGTCCTCCTCCGCCAGCAAATCTTCGTCCCGGAACCCACTGTCCACCTCCAATTTCCGCAGGCGGCGGCGCATGGCGTCTTTCTTCTGATGCTGCCACCGGATGAGAGCGGCCGGAGCGTGAACCTTGAAGCCGTAGACGCGCGGAATGTAGCGCTCGGCGCTCTTGGTGGGGATGAGTGCCGGGTAGGCCTGAAAGATGATGTTGTGGAACGAGGTTCCAAAGTAGGCGCCGTCGATGGCGGCGTGGCGCGAGGACTTTGGGTTGTAGATGTCCTCGCAACGTGCGCAGTAGAGCTTGACGGGCTTCAGGTTGGGGATGTCGGCAAGGCCCATGGGAAGGAGAGGGTGCGAATGGCACATGACACGGGGGCACTTTCCGAAGTCGGCCTTCTTGTACTTCTCGAGCTGCGAACTACGTTAGCCTGCAATCGTAGCAACATTTCAAATACAAAACAGTCCTCCTTCTCATTCTCCGGTTTTAGAAAAAGAAGCTGGAGAATGATTCGAGAGAAAATATGGCTTACCATCTTGGCAAGACCCCTTGTCGTGACAATGAATCTGGCGTGTACGAGACCATACAGATGTCTCGCGGACTTCTCGATTGTCTCCCTCATCTCATCGTCGCAGTCGAGGTCGAAGACATCGGTGATGAGATCCAGCGCATATTGGTAGTACTGAACCTCCGTGTTCAACCCAGTTAAGTTGAACCGATCCGTCAGGTAATCCTCGTCGATTTCGCAGAAGTATTCGTTGCCACGAGAGGAAATGAACTACAAAGGACCACGGTCAGCAGGTCATTCGTCTTTGGTCAAGTGGCAGGCGTCCGAGGCTGTTGCGAGGGCCTTCAATTCCGCGCCAGCGACCGCGTCGCAGCCGGCGCTTCCACCCTCATCAGAATTTCCTTGGGACGCAGATAAACCATCGGCTGTCTTTCCGCACTCACCCAGTCTCGCCAGTAGCTCGTATAGTCACTGTCCGACTCGCTAACGAAGTCATCCATCATGGCGGGAAGAATGTGCGACTCGTGCCTCGACGAGCCCTCAGATCATGGCCCAGAGTACGGTCGCGTCGGAACGTTTAGATCGTTCGTGGATATCGAGTAATCGCGGTCGCTCGGCCGTTTCGACTATGGGTGCTGATGTGAAGGAACAGGAGCGAATGTGTTTCTCATTGGGTGGTGATTGACGGTGTTTCTCTGCACTCATCGACAGGGCAGAAAGCAGTTGGCGGGGCTGTGGTGCGTCTGGCCAGCCGTGCCTGCCAGGGACCTCACTGGAGGGGGCGGGGGAGGTACGTACCCGTTGCACCGGTCATTGCACAACCCAAACTTTATGCAGGCGTGTCTGCACAAGTGGCAATGGAACAGCAGTGCCTCGTCCATCAAGTCCTTCTAGAAGACGATTTCATCACGTGTGGACTGTCACGGCAGGCAATGGAGGGAAGTGGCACTCATGAACTTCATTTTCAATGTGTTAGCGCCTTCTAGCGACCGTCTGAACTAAAACTGGCGGCGGAGCTGACCGATTGGCCTTCCGACTCCATCTCGTCGCTCTGCTCTATATACTTCAACCCCAAGCCATTCACGGCTTTGCTGTGAGGCACATCAAGACGACTCATCAGCCCAGATTGATCCTTGTTGCCCTTCATAGAGATATTCACGCCTTCCATTGCGTCGCGGAGCGTGTCACCAGTTTCATCCATTGCTGCCAAGAACCGTGCAAGTTCCTTGCACAGCTCCCAATCACCCTCCTTCATTGCTCTTGATAGCAACCGTACTGTTTGTTCTGACGCAGATCCCAGCTCATCTAGAGTATGCAAGATGATGAGATAGCCGCCGGCCGTCTTCAAAGATCCTCGCTGGAGCGACTCTTCGAAAAGCTCTTGTACCGGCGGGAGATATGCGAAAAGGGTGCGCCATTGCCGCACTTCCGTTTTCCTTGTGCACTGCACCACAATGTCTAGATATTGCTTAAAAGACGATAGAAGCGAAAGCACCCTTGGTAAGATTGCTTCTTCGGGGCTCGGTCCGGAATCAACTTCCTTGTCCAATACTTTGTGAAGTAATATCTCCAACGCGTGTGCGAAATATTCCAGAGTTTGATACCGGTCTGACAATTTGACTGCATCTGCTTTACGGTTCTCGGTCAGGAAGAATCGCAGAATGTCAGGCAGGAACAAATGTGTCTGTTGACAATGGTCAGCTAGATATCCAAAGGTAGCGATGGCAAACCAACCCGAATGGTGAAGCGGAAGAAGGAGAAGCTGATATCTCGTCGCTGTATTAGATCAGCTTCAATTCCAAGGATGATGCCCTTGCCGAGAAGTGTCGAAAGGGGGTAGAAGTCTAGAGGGACTGATATTGTCTTCGGCAGTTCTCGCTGTGTCTCATTTGAAGCCGCTTGCAGCACCTCTTGTATGTCTGCCCAGACCTTGAAATCCTGGCCATCGAACACCCAGAGTGAATTTCGTAGAGTCACGTCTGCCCCAACAGGCGACAACTCCTCAGCATGTGTAGCAAGCCCATCGAAATGGGGCTGATCTCTCATGCTTACATGAAATTCAACGTTTTGAGCGATGACTTTCATGTCGTACTTCAAATTGCCCTCGTTATTGAATGAGGGTTGTAGCAATACCAGCTTGGCATCTACCAGGAACAAGACAGATGCCACGGCGACATCTTGCGACGGATCACCGTCGACGAGTTGGCTGTCTGGTAAGATCCAGCTCAGACCGCGAACTCTTGCAGGCGATCGCACGATGCCATGAAATGCAATTTGTCCTAGCTGAACCAATCTGATAGAACCATTGGTGGGCGCGAATATGAAGTGGTAAAGTAAGTTGTCGTAGGTGTACACAAGTAGCGAGTCCTCTCCCGACGTGGTCACTAAAACTGCTGGAGCTGGCAATCGCTCTGTGTGAAGCACTTGGGCGGTGTCGAGCGCCGTTTCCCTCGAGTAGAGGCGCAATTCGTGCGACTTATTGGCCTCAACGGCAGCGACGAGGATATGCTGATACCAGCACATACTGCCCCTGACCTGAAACTCATTTTCCATGGCTTCGTTGGCAAACGTTTTCCATCGACCACTGTTGACACTATAGTGAGCCAAACCTCGGCGCCCAGCCACAGCAACATATCGACCGTCTGGTGAAATGACAGTGTGGCGGATAGGCCACTGCTGAAGCAAATAGGCCGAGGGCACTTTCGTTGTGTGCCATAGATGCGGCTCCGCAGAGATGCTGGCTAGATCTGGCAGGTCATATCCGCGATATATCATGACGTTGGTACTCGTCTGTAGAACGGTACGCATGAGGTTTGCAGCGTTGTAGTTGCCAACGACTGCGCTTCTCGCCATCTCCAGCACCCAAATCGCCTCGTGCATGCGATGTGTTATAAGGATTTCCGAACCACTGCCGAGCCATACGGCGTCCCCAATGCCAGATATCCAGTTTTCACCATTGGCCTCAATGATAGCGTCGTGCGCGCCGAAACTGTTGCTGCCCGGCTTCCCGTAGACGCTCCATGTAGCCCATCCACTTTCATATCCGGCAAACAAACAGTAGCCGTCAGGTGAGTAGCTTAGAGTCGTGAGTGAACCAGAAACCGTTGTCGATACTGGAATGGTATGTGTGTGTGAAGGAGGAATATTGCCAGCGTAATCTCGAGCCGAGTAAACACGGATGCACCCATCAGCACAGCCTACAGCAATCAATGAGAATCTTGCATTGATGACTGCTTTTACGGCGGACTCCTCTGGTTTAGCGGGCGTATGGAAGCAATACCCCTTGAAAAGTTTCTTGGGGTCAGCTTCTTGCGGATTCCCGTTCGACTGGTCGCGAGGATGAAGCCGCTGGACTGCATAGACCTTGCCGTCACTTGTGGTCCAGGTTGACAGGTTCATAGGCCGGTCATGGGT